TAACCATCCTGGGTTCGATGACATGACAGTAAAGAATGTCCAATTTTCTTAAGGATTGAGCCATGTAAATGCCAAGTGCTTGAGGATCAGAGTCTTTGCAATCACAGTAGTTAGCAAAAGGAGAGAGTCTAACACCAACTCTGTCTGATCCAACCTCGTTAATTATTGCCTCCACGACCATCAGTGGAAATCGACAACGATTTTCTAAACTACCTCCAAATTCATCGTCTCTGTCGTTCACATGGTCTTTTAGGAACTGGTCGAGTAAGTATCCATTGGCTCCATGTATCTCCACACCATCAAAGCCTGAATAAATTTAACAGTTTTGACTCATTGTCTTGTTCAGTAGTATTTAGTATGTCGCATGCATGCAAATAGTTTGAATGAAAAGCTAGAAGAAGAAGAAGAAGAAAGTGTTAAGCAAAGGTTGGTACCAGCTTCTATAGCATTTTTGGCTGCCATTCTGAAGTCATTGGCAATCATAGGTATTTCATCTGTTCTGAGACGATGTGGAGAGGGATATTTGGTGTTGCTACCTTCAATTGCCTTGTTTGTGCTTGAAATTGGAGGTTGTCCATTTGGCTGATACGCTGATCACTATATACTATCAGTGTTTATGACATCATTTTCTTCTCGAGTAATCTTTTGAAGTAATGGTACGATAACACAATATATACTATATACTATAATGATACGCTGATCACTATATACTATGTCAGTAATTTGTAAAATGATGCAATACGATTGGTTTAATAAAATTATTAGTGAAATCCACGACGTGAAGAAAGTAAAAATGTATAAAAGATAGTATTAAAAAAGTTATGTATATCAAAAATCAAAATATCATTTCTCTTCTCCCAATTCATAAAAAAAAAGAAAAAGTTAAGTGTCCTTCCATCATAAGTGTCAAGCATGAAAATTGTTAATGAAAACTGAAAATGAATATACTGTATAACATTGTGATGTAAATGTCTAGCGTTTTGCATAGGCATAAGTAAATAAATACAAATAGAAATACCATAGTTGGAGACTCTTCCAGCATGCCAAAGTTGGCAAAAGAATATACCCCCTTTCTCGTGAACAGCTCTCACAATTGGTTTCCATGCTTCCACTTGTTCTCTTGTCCAAATGCCTGGTGTATTTGGGTACCTTTAAAAAGGAAAAATGATAGAACAAATGAAATAATCAAATATTCACTGTCAAAGCTTTTTTTTGGGTTAAGAAATATATTTTAATTCCAGATTAAAAGATAAAATTTATCTCTACTTATATTTATCTCTCCTTATATATTATAAATTGATCATATTTTTTTTTGGACGTAGATTTTCATATATCTGACCTATTGATCATATTTTTTTGTGGATCTAGATTTTCATATATCTGACCTAGATTTTAATATACCTGACCTAGATTTTAATGTACTTTTTCTTCTCTTTTGCAAAATGCACTTTGACAAGGTGTCTAGTTTATGATATTCTTTGTAATCATCTATTCCCTTGGAGAAAAATACACAAAAAATGAACAGAAGGGAAGATTAGATTACCCTTGTGCAGTTTCTGACACCCCTGAGGCTTCTCCAATCAAAAGTCCACCTTTTGTTGTTCTTTGAGAATAATAGAGAGCAGCATGAGGCTGAGCCACGAAGTTGTAAGATCTTGTTCTTGTTAATGGTGCCAGAACAATTCTACACCATGGAACACACAAATCAAAACTTCAAATACATAGAAACATTACAACTTGAGGAGAGTAATTCAGCAAGTTTCTTATATTATAAACCATCCCTCTATACAGTGATAATCATGCTAATTTACCTGTGAGAAAGATTGAATTTTCCCATCTTGAATGGGGTGAGAAGGGGTATAACTTCTTTTCCATTGATCACATCTTCCTTCTCTTCCACCATTGTGTTGTTCATTCTCCTTTTCCCTCCTTGGCAGTTCAGAATCTGTGATGGAATGTATGGACTCTTGCTCTTCATTCTTATAGTAGCTGAAAAGAAAACACCAGCACCTTATGAAACAATTGTCTTTAACTTTTTTTCTGAAAGTCAAAGAAACTTCAAATGAATTTATGTGCACTTTAACCACTACTTATTTTGCCTTGAGTTACTCAATTTGCATTTATTTGAACTATTATACCTTTTCTTTCTTTTTGTTGGAAAAATATTTCTTCTTTCTCTAGTATTAATTGTTTTGCACAGGATTTAAGTTATTTTTTTGTCGTATAGTATTAATTATATATATATACTCCCCATGCACAATGTTCCATAATAAATTTAAATATTAATGGGTATATTAAAAATTGGAAAATGGTTAAACACATTTATGTTTATCGAATTTTTTTTTCTCTTTTTTGATAATAATCACTTTTTCTTTTAACTTTTTGAGATGGCTTTTGATTGAAATAAAATATATATTTTCATAATTTAGGTTAAACGAAGATAATGAGTTTATGCTAAGTTCATTTAACCTTTATTCACTTGAATGGATTTGGGGGAGAGTGATTGAATGAATTTGAGAGAATTTGAAGGTAAATTTT